GGAAGGACGCTATGAATGAGGAGTCCCAGTTGGATGGAGGCTCGGCGCGCCTTGGAAGGTAGCTTGTTTTCTGTTTTTCTTTTTTCATTTTTCTTTTCATACACTGGCCAGGGAAGGTAGCTCGGGGTAAAAGAAAAAAGAAGAACGTTAGGCTCGTGTAAAGCAGTGTCAAAAAAAAACAAACAAGAATACTGTCGCTAATGCATGTGCCACGTGTCACAACCTCAGGCGTCGCGGGCGCACAGATTTTCTTTTTCGTCTTGAGTAGGAGGAGGAAAATTAAGAGGAGGAGGAGGAGGAGGAGGACGAAGATGAGGAGGAGGAGGACGAAGATGAGGAGGAGGACGACGATGAGGAGGAGGAGGAGGTGGGAGATTAGGAGGAGGAGGAGGTGGGAGATTAGGAGGAGGAGGACGAAGATGACGAGGAGGAGGAGGTGGGAGATTAGGAGGAAGAGTAGGAGGAAGAGGAGGAGGAGGAGGAGGAGGAGGAAGAGATTAGGAGAAGAGGAGCTGGAGGAGGAGGATTGGGAGGAGGAGGAGGAGGAACTTTAAATTATGACATCATATTGTAATTATGCAATAATTCTATACTATAGAATAAAATATTATAGAATAAAATTGTAAAACAATCTTGTATTTGATGAGATGGAGGAGGAGGGGGAGGAGGAGGAGGAGGAGGAGGAAGAAGAGCGGATCGTTCGTAAGACAGGATGGTGGTCTGAGGTTGTGACACGTGGCAGATCCTGGGTGCAGCGACCTTCTCGTCACAATTTTGGCAATCGACACGTGGCAGCAGATGGTTGTTGGTTCCCCCGAAGAGAACGTGGCACCACCGGGGTACGGTCTGGTTTTTTTTTTTTTTTTTTTTTTTTTTTTGGATGCTACGGTCATTACAGTTTGTAGTGGGGGCATGTGTTTTTTAATTGTATTTAGTATGTACCTTTTTCGAAATATTTGGGGCATTTTTTTTTAATGGTATTTACCTGTTTTCGAAATATTTGGGCCAATTTTTTGGGCGTGCTCGTTACAGCTGTAGTTGGGGCAATTTTCGAAAAATTGGCCCAACTGTTTCGAAAACATGGCCCCAAATATTTCGATTTTTTTAATTAAAATAAAAAATAAAAAATTATTCTATTAATGGTAGTTACCATTCTTCGAAATATTTGGGCCAATTTTTTTAATGGTATTTACTATTTGCCGTTTTTCGAAATATTTGGGGCAGTTTTCTGGGCGTAGTCGCACTGCTTTAGGAAGTAAGTACAGTTCTGGATGCATCTGACTGCAATTGCGGCGCGGCGTGGTGTGTATCTGACCGCAATCACGTCCAGAGCTGAGTAGAAAAAAGTCGTGGTGAAAAAAAAAAAAAAAAAAAAAAAGTCGTGGTGTGGAGTAAGTATGCACTCAGTCTAGACCTTACTGCGTTCTATTCGGGGAAGGCGTTACGTACGTCTCCCCGGAGGTAGCACTTCTATTTTTTATTATTCGAGTAAAATCTTATTTTCATTATTCGAATTTATATTTATTTGTAATGTTTATATTGGATAATTATTTAGTTATATGGCAGCAGATTTTTGCCGTGTAGTGTTTCACAGGTTTATACAGCGACAAGTTGACAACAACAAAAAAGATATGATGCGATTTTTTATTGGGGGGGAAAAAGAAAAGTGTCCGGAACCCAAAGCCAGATTTAACGAAAATGATCAATATATATATATATATCTCGTTTGTTGTCCTCTTCTCTCTCTCTGCCTACGGTTTACCGGGCTGTTCTGTTTGTGACGATATATATGGGTGTTTTGCTTGCTTGTGATGGGGTGTGAACCGACAGTCTGTGGAGTTTTCCATCTGGTGTGGGTGAGTGATAGTCTGCTTTGACTTTTGCCACAGGTACCTTGAGGGCAGTGGTTGGTGGTCCCCACCACCTCAGGGTATCAGTTGTCGGGCAGTCGTTGATGCTTAACCACAGCGGACCGGGGTTAAGGTGGATTATCACTTACAGTGTAATGATCAGTTAGGGGATTCTGCAGACTGTTGAGGGTTCAGCCTCCTGATGAGTCAGTCGGTGTTTGTTTGCCGCAGCCCCTCGTTTGTTGTCCTCTTCTCCCTTTTGTCCCTCTCTGCCTACGGTTTACCGGGCAGCTCTGTTTGACTATATATTTCTTTACCTCTTTGCCTTTTGGCTGCGTGCAAGTGGGTCCTTGTGACACACGGGGATCGATTGGGGCAGCCAGCGCTCAACCTGTCATCCACGTGGCTGGCCTTGTACGTAAGGCGTGATGAACAGGTGGGGCTTTCCTTCCTTCCTTCTTTTCCTTTCCTCTTTTTGCTTTTTGCCGCCTTGGCGCTCTGATTTACAGTGTGACAATATATAATATGTATAAATATAAAAAAATAATAATAATCAGGGTAACCGGCGTTCGGGACGGGCCGAACGCCCGAACCCGAACGCCCGAACGTAGGGGACCCCTCGGGGATGCGTTCGGCCGTTCGGGCCGAAC